TCACCTGCGTTGTCATCATAGCCGTCTTTGCAGTATTTTACGACTTCAGCATGACATCTTCTATATCGGAGAACAGGAACTTCTGGTATGGATTTATCTGAATTTCAATTGCTCGTTTGAGCTGCGACATCCAAACGCCAGGTGTGCTTATCTACGTAAAGGTTAGTAGACAACGAACGACGTAATAAAATAGTGCAATTTTCAACATACTCAAACGATGTTGAAATTTCCTTGTATATCTAAAGAAACAACGGATATGGATGGATGGAATGATGTTGTAATAGTGCAATCCTGCATTATTTACGCTTTCGACAAATCCATATCGTAAATAATGCAAAAAGTTGAAATTTAAAGAATGTACTACTACAATTTCTGAAATGATTTTTCTAGATTTGTGGCATATTTTCGTTACACATCCGTTCTTGTGCCAAAAACTCCGCTAATGGAGACCTCAAGATTTAATCTTATAAAATTGTCAACACATAAAATGACGTGAAAAGCTTTTAGCATGGGTCAAAAAGTGCCGCATACAGAATTATGGGTAGCTCAAAAAATGCGAAAAATTGTGATTTTTCACTTTTAAACCACAAATTAATCATCTTGTGTAAAAATATGGGGCCAAGAATATACCTCAAAAATTTAAAAATCAATGTGATGATGTTTTCGGTGGATTAAATTGCACAATCATGTGTCGAAATTTTAATGGTACATGTGAGAATGCACTCGATGAGGACTTATCCTTGGAACTTATCGTAGATGATCCTGATGATTTATGGAATATACTCCTGAATCGTTCACAGAAAGAACAGCGGACGACCGAAGAGATGAAAGAAGTTCGGAGACGTTTGCAGGTATTAATTTCACTCAATTGTTTTTTTTTTTATTTGAATTGATAGAAATGGCCAGTGATGCTTAAAAAAATGTACTCATTGACTTCATATACCGCAGAAATTCAAATCACGGTTTCTTCCACTTCGGTTTTATCAGTGATGTAAATGAAGCGACTATAGGTAATTGAGAAAACGAGAATGAGAGTAATCGTGGCACGCGCCCGTGAACTACTCATAATTTTGGGAGGCTTGTACGATAGATGTAGAATTTTAGCCTTACGGCAGATCACATTAATATTCTTGATTTCAGCAATCATGACATTACTCTATTAATTGCACAAGTGTCACATTATTTCCAAATAGTTGAAGCGTCATTATGAACCAACAATCAATGGATAAATACTCATTGACAACAAAAATAAGATCCTGAAATGCCAAGGAAACGAAAAATCGCGATTGTATCTGCGAACCGTATCAATGTAGGTTGCTTTTATCATTGTTCTCCTCTCAGATTAATACCGAAAGATTTTCCTAGGCGTACGTTTCTCTTATTCTAGTAAACGATGTTGCAAAAGCTCAAACGAGCAATTGAAATTCAGATAAATCCATACCAGAAGTTCCTGTTCTCCGATATAGACGATGTCATGCTGAAGTCGTAAAATACTGCAAAGACGGCTATGATGACAACGCAGGTGA